AGAAGCCTGATGGTTCAAACCCACTAGCCACTCCTCAGTAGGAAAACTGGGCAAACTACTTCCGTAGAGATACTGCTTTGGAAACCCAAGGAGGGGATGCTATAAGTTGGATTTGACTCGATGGCAGAGAGTTTGGTTTCTTTTTTCATTATATTCTTAAAAATTCTAGAACAAAATACAGCTGGCAATATTCCACACACAGTTTTGGTGGCTGTTTTTAATTTGTAATTGAGATTGAGCTAAGAGGAGTTTTTATCTTTGGTCAAGATTTTAGTGATTAAATGTGTGAATTAAGAGCACCTTTTAGTTGGATAACATACTAGTACAAAGTGTAATATAGGTAAGCTTTTGTTATCAACCAAAGAGCACAATTATTTGCATAAATATAGCTAAAGATATCAGCTAGTCTGTCATAACAGAATGAAAAAATAATTTATTTGATGATAATAAGATTGACAATTTAAATATATTTTAATTATCTTCACTAACCACCATGCAAAAGAATTATTTCTACTTCTACGTCTTGAATTTTATAGGAAACTTTTAAAATAATATAGTCCCCTCTGGCTGGTAAAGATAATTGATAGTGGTGTCCTGTAATGCATTTTACTAGTTTGTAAGCAAGTAAAATGAAAGGGGAGATACGACTGTTTCTAACAGTACCTATCACATAGGCACGTGTGCTACCAAAAATGGTTGGGTAAATTATCTTTGTAAATCTCTCTACTTGTACATAATGATGCTTTACAGACAAATCATAGGACAAGTTACAGGGACTGTGTGGGAACAGGCAAATGTCACCATGTAAATATTTGGGGTAAATGATGAGATTCCTCTGTCTCAAGATAAAAACATATTTTTCCTGCAAGTTACATTTCATGCTTTTTAAATAATTACACTTTAAAGATATCCTGTAAAAACTATCACAATTATATTTATCTGAAAAATGCTTACTTTTTAAATAAAAAGTAGTAGAACATCAAATTTTAAGTTGATAAGAATTTAGTAAATCTTTTTCTACCTGCCTGTAACAATGAAAATCATCATAGGAACCAGGGGCCTGTGACTTTTTCAGAGAAGAACAGAGCTTCAGTAGATAACAATAAAGTCATATAGATGTAGAGTCTAAAAGGATTATTCATAAAGAATAAATATTAAATATGCTTGGAGGTTTACAGAGTATGTTACATTTCCATATATAATATATAGGAATAAAAATGCAAGGCAATATAATCAAAACAAAAGCCTTCCATTCCTTCCAATACATAATATGACAATTCAATGTGTTTAAAGGCTACACAGAAAGATAAGCAGCCTCATGTGGAGTAAATATCCTTTCTATGTGCGTATGTAAGAATGTGTAACAAAGCAATTAAAAATCATTAGTCAAGTACATAGGAATGAGTGGCTAATGGGATATTCCAGATATATATACTATCAGGAAAAAAAATTTTAAAATGAAATGGCTTAGCTACTGATGGTTGAAATTACCTTGAAAAAACAAAACCAGGAAAGCTGAGGGTCAGGGCTGAAAAGATCCTTTTAATCCTTTGTTCATAAATTTGTCCTTCCCAGGTCTCCCGAGTTATATAGAGAGAAGAACTGGAAACTTACTAGCTAATTTGAACAGTCTAGGCAGTTAGTACACATAATTCATGTCCAAATATGGGTAATTTTTTTGGCTCAAATGTTCCAATTTGGACTGTGAGATAAGACAAATTACCTGGCCTTACAAGTATCTACTTCAGTGTGTGCTACATGGCTGGAGTTTGGAAAAAATGACAGTACTTCTAGATGAAAAATTAAATTAGAGGACTGGTAAAATATTAATATAGAGCTAACTGTTTCAAGTTGCAAACCAGATGCATAAATGGGAAGCTTTATTGGAAATAATAGCATAAAAGTACAAAGTAGAGACAATAACAGTAATGTGTGTTCTTTGTTTGTTTTCCTTCAGATGTTGCAATAGCATGAAAGGCACTGTTTTAATAGCTTTCCTAAGATAATTTGTTTTACATGGTAGTCTTGATTTTACAGGTCACCACAAAACATATTTCCATAGTATGCTTTTCAAACAAGAAGTACAACTTCAAAATTAATTGGGTACTAGGAATATATGGCTCCCTAGAGAATAAAATATAGTATATAGCAAGGACTAGGATAAAAGCATATACAAAAAATTCATAAATTCAATATTCTTTGATTCTTCTATCACATTAACGAAGATATCAGATGTAAATTGATTATTACCAACTTAAATTACAAAGACAACATATCACTGAGAGCTTATTTTAATTAGCCTTTAGTACTGAATCTATACTTTTCTTCTAACTCTCATAATAATATGATTTGAAGTTGCTTAGTTTACATGCTACTGAGTACATCTAATTTTCCTTTAAAAATACTCAGTGGTCTAACATCAAATAAAGTCTTTTAATTACAAGTTATAAATTTCAAGCCTAATAAGATAAGTAATGTAATTATAACTCATTCAACCACCATTATTTAGAATATGACATTGTGTTTTCCTTAAACACAATTATATTACTCTAAGGATATAATGCAACCAATGCAAGGATGCCTCAACTGATTATATTGATTTTTCTTAACAAATTATATGTAAATAAACATTTAAATATGTAATGCAATTTCCCATTGACTTACAAAATTAATAAATGGAAAATGTAATCCTACAGGGAAAAATTACCAAAAATACACAATACTCACTGCCATCAAGTCAGATCTGACTCATAGTGACGCCTCCTTGGCTTTCCGAGGCAATGTCACTAAGGAAGTAGATTGCCCACCCTTCCTTCCGAGGAGTGGCTGGTGGGTTTGAACCTCCAGCCTTCTAGTTAGCAGTCAAATGGCTTAGGCACTACGCTACCAGAGCTCCCAAAACACGCAATAGGAAAAAAAAAAAAAAATTGGTAAAGAAGGGATCATTACAAATTCCAGAACTTGTTTAAATATAACCTGGCATTTTTGTTGGTCTTACTTTTGTACCTTGATTTGTATCTCTTTAGTTTCTCTAACAGCAAACTCCAAAGCCTGCATAACATGGTAAGGCTTCTGCCCTTCTTTCTGTGGGCCTCTTTTAGCAGGCTTTGACTAGAGATGGCCCAGAGCAGGCGTTAGCAATGAGATGGTCTCCCACCGATTCTAGCCATATGCCAATGTTATTTTGATGGGCAAGGCACAAGGGAGAGTATAAAGCTATGCCAGTGAGGGATTGGGTAACACATGATAAATCTGTTTTGAATTTCATGTAGTTGGTAATAAACATTGATGGATGTCAGAAGTAGAGTAGCTATTAGCAGAAGAAAGCACATAAAGTGGTGCTAAATTCAAATACTCAGAACTAGAATCATCACTTTCCTATGAAGTTCTGCTTCTTCTCAAGGCTTATCATTCACATAGATGAAAGAGGTACTTCCTCATATGGTATTAATTAAACAGCAGTCTCCCCATAATACATCCCTCATAGCTTTTCCAGAGAATTACTATTTCCCACCTGTCATGAAGTTTCTACCATTAGAGTAATACTTTGAAGTTAGGTAAGAATGATGGTACTGTGCGCATGGGAAGGAGATAGGACTATGCAATTAATAAAATAGTATGAACTTATTTACCAGATTAGTCTATTTATACGATAGAAGAATTGATGGCTGGCTGCTTGCAAGCTTTTAAGACCCCATCTGCTGCTACTCAATATAGTAGGATGTAGACCACTGTGTTTGTGGACTACGTTATGCCTACTGATTTGATGCTCCCCATGACTACGGTCCTGAGGCCCCAGGTCCAATGACTCATTCCCTCAAGGTGTCTGGTTATGGCTAAGAAGTTGTCATAACTTTGCCCCCTGTATGCTCTACTATATTCATGGACATACTTACAGCACATATAAATATATATGTAGAAATACTCTCTGCCAAACCTACATATGTTTGTGGCCACCTAAGGTGTAACTATTGGTCTCTCCCCTTCCAAAGCAAGGAACAGTTAGTTAAGATAATCAAAGAAAAATAGCAACCTGAGATATTCTTAACCAGCTCTGAAGGATGGTCTTAAGCTTTTGGACTCTCTAGTTCTCACTCTCAAAATGACTGATCAGTTAAAGTTATTAGGAAAAAAAAGTTTTGTAACCATACATACAAACAGTTTTCTAATTTTTCTTTACTTTCTATACATTAATGATTTGTATAATTTTACCAAATCAAAACATGACTGTAATTTGTTTCTTTGAAAGAATTATTTTTTTCCCAAGAAAATATGAATGCCCATTATTAAAGAATAAAGCTAAAGAAATTCCACACATATCATATCAAATGGGAAAAAGCTACCATAATGTACTAAGTTACAAAAAATATTTCAGAACTATATTTGATTTAATTTTTTTTGAATTTAACTCATTTATAAGATATATTTGTACTCTAAATAGTTCCAAAACAGATAACCTTCTGCAAAGCAAGTCCCAACACTAATCCATGATTCATTATTGAAACTTTAATTGGCACAATTCTTGAAATTCTGAGACCATATGGAAAATAATGAGTCCTAATAGGTCTAAGGTAAAAAGATGGCAGGGGAGTAAGGAAGCCAGAAAACCATCAATTCAGAATGTTTAGCAACTGCAACAAAATTTCCCCATGGATTTAGAACGTGTTCTCAAGGTTTTACTGGTCTTGCACTCATTTAACTAAACTAAACAGATTATTTCTCATTCTGTGAGGCAAAGACTAAAATGAAAAACAAAGAACAGACTAAAAACTAGTTTCCATAATTAAAAATGAAATTGGCTGACTGTTAATAAAAAAGCAGCAATTTCGAGTTACCATAACAACCTGATGCAACTGTTGACTGACACAGAAATACTGCATTTTTATAAATAGCAGATTTCCCCTTATCCCCCAACCCCTTCATTTCAACTGGTTTTAGTGCTCATTGAAGCTAATGGAACAACTGTTCTTTAAAACAACTTGACACATCAAGCAGTGTACCTCTTCGCTGCCGTCATCACTGCAAAAATCATCCTCCAATTGGGCACCTCTACTTGTTCCACTGTTGTCCTCTTTTAGATCCAAAATAAATGGGCATTCCTCTGGAGACATACTCTGAGTCTTTCCATGAGGTGCTGACCGTGGTCTGGATGAAAAAGTGAAAACGTTCTGTGGAACAATGTGGGTTTCCTCTGCTTGATGGCTGTGTTCACTTTCCTTGCTGACTTCTCCCCACAGGTATGAAGTGTTGCAAGAGACATCATCCAGAAGTAAAGACTGTCTGCTAGATTCCAAATTGGGAATGTGATCATAATTGTCAGGAAATATCCACTCATCTGACATTTGGAAGAGATGACAAAATTAGTGGTATTCCATGAAAGTGCTATTTAGGCAGTTAACGTAAAACTTCTTGCTGAAATATTTATCAAATAATGCAAAAGCCAATGAAAGCTATTTATCTACTATCCTGTTACTTGTTAAACATGTAATTCATGGATCAGTGCCTATAGCTATGGGCAATTCATTTTCACTTCTTTTCCATCTGAGTAGAAACACTGGCCAGGAATTTGTAAGACTGAAATAATTATCACCTGTTTTACAGCACAGTTTTATAGCACAGTTTTATTAATTAGACATTTCAGTGGGGGAGAATCTTCCAAATTTAAAAGGGTTTGAGTTACTATTATCTCTTTTTAACTTCAGAGAACAGAGCATTTAACAAGTTTCTGTAAACAAAATATCTGGTCCCTGTTTGCACTGCAAATCACAGAGGGTAGGAAATCATAAAAAGGTTGACAGTCTTTTTCTTCTCCATTGTACTTACTGATTCAAAACAATTTAAAGACTAAACTGAGTAGACTTTCCAAATAATTGCAAATCCACAGCAATAACTGTTAATCTGACTAGTGAATTCTGCAGAGTGGAAAAAGAACTTTATGTTTAATTTTAGGAGAGAATGTTTTCACATGAATTATTATTATTATTATTTTGGTATAACACAATTTGTTTCTTTAAAAATACTGTACACTACTCCAGGGATAGGTTTTTACAAAAAATTTTCAAAATTCTAATCATTTTAACAACATTGAGATAGAGTTTATAACCCTGCTTACTTTCTTCTTTAGAATGATAGCAGAAAAAAGTTAAACATTTTCTTAACTTTGTCTATTTATTCTTGAAATTTACTTTTTTCTTTTTCTGAAAGGTTTCAGTGGTGAAAATCTTGCAAGAATCTGTGTTTTACAGAACCATAATTTGGACATGGTAATTTTATACTTAACTCTTGAGTCCTGTTACAGTTACATTTATGATCACAATAAAAGTAACCAAGAAAGATCTAAGATTTGGTAACTTGAAAGCATACTTAAGAAAGAAAAAAAAAATGAGTGTTAATAACACTGAGGGCACAAATAAAATGTTTTTCAATTTTATTAAACTGTTTCTTTAACCTAAGGTTATTATTATATAATAAAGCTGCCTATTTTAAAAAAGGCAACACGTATACTTCTTACAGAAAGTCCATTAGGAACAAGGTTTTGTTTTGTGTTTTGAGGGGTAGAGTCTGTAGGAAAATGGCCAAGGGCAGGATGAATCTACTTCATCTGACCACCTTCTCAGGGGATATAAATAATCTTGACTCAGTGTTTCTGTAGGCCAGTAACATGAACAGATTCAGTGGACTTGGCCCAGTATACTGTTCTATTTTGGGCCTTATCTGGTGCTAGACACATAGGAAGTGATCTGTAAAGACAGTAAACCAACCCATTGTCATCAAGTCGACTGCAACTCAGAGCGACTCCACAATCTGTATGGAAGCACACTGCTTCATCTTTCTCACATGGAGAAAGATGGGTTCAAATAGCCAGCCTTTTGGTTAGCAGCCCAATGCTTTAACCGCCGCATCACCAGGGCTGCTTGTAAACACTGTAGGTGCTCTATAAATGTTGGAAAAACTAAACCCAATGTGTTACATTATATACATTGCTGTGGGAAGAAAATTGAAGAAAGTTACTGGAAATCTTCATTATGCAGTTAAACAACTTTGTATGACCTATTACAACATATTATTAAACATATTATTAAACATTAAACCTATTAAAGGTATTATTAACTGTGAAAAAGTCAAAGTAAAAGGAGTGTTTTACACCAAACTAACTTGAATTATCTCACTACCACATGCTTTTTTGAAATTTGTCATTTCACCTTAAGTATTTCCATATCAATTGTAATGAATAATTCGGTGAGTTTTCTTAGGAAAATATGTAAATTACTGTGTAATCACAATATTGCAGCAAACAAGATAAATGCAAGAATGATCACCTAAACATCTAATTAGTTTTTCTACACAGTCAGATTTATGCTAGAGACACTAATTGCACCTAACATTTTAATGAAGGTTTCAACATTGCATAAATAAGACTGACAAAGTACAAACAATTTTCATTTATTTTCCTTTTTCCCTTCCTCAAAAACAATTTGCCTTTGTAAAAGTACCACACATCTGCAAGGCAAGATATGTTGATGGGCTCAATGCTCCACACCCCAAGCACTTCCACTATAAAGAAGACTGGAGAAATGCAATAGATAATCTTTGGGGAGGGTGACAATGTCATGTGAAAACTTAAAAAGTTCTAAAATTTCATCTCAAAGAGGACAACTGGTGCATTACAACTTGAAAATAAAAATAATCTTTCATCTATTAAAGTTTGGTATAAAATTGAGGTTCAAAGAATATTTATAAAAAATTATTTTAACAAATGACTCAATTCCAACTTTTCATAATGTCTGGAGTTGAAATACTTAACATATTTTTATTTTATTAATTATTAACAAGATGCTATAATAATGATGCCAACCTGCTGGATCAGGAGACTGGGGCCCTGGAGTGCTGGGGTTCAATGTCTCTTCTCTTTGTTGGGACATAGTTGTTGCTTTATCTTCATTCTTGCTATTTCCTGAAGGACCACCTTTATTGGAATAAATATTGTCCACTATATTACTTCTTTTGATATTTATAAAAGTTATTAATTTTTGAAGAATAAAATTAATGTGATATATTTTTCTACTTGATTACTTAAAATCAAATTAGAGGTAATCATATGGATTACACACTTTTTTTTCTCCTTTTCAGTAGAATGTTTTAAAGATGAACTCAATTTTTATACAGGTTCAGCATATAATTCTGATATTTGCATGGGGACATTTTAAAGTTAAGTTTTATAATATATAATAAAAGGAATTCCAAAATCCACGTAAGTTTTAAATGATCTTGTAGTTTTTTTCATTTGGTTCCATATAAAATGGAGTATATGTTTTCCTTAAGTTACAATTCTTGCTAAATTATGACTCTTTAAACTTAGGTCTCTTCTTCAATACCTGTATGAAAATGGGTACAGAATTACTGCAGAATTAATTATTTTATTTAGTATTTTATAAAAACCACATCAAACCTAGCAGGCAGAATTTCAGCCTAGCCAATAATCCTACATTTTTGAGATATTATGCTAAGACTATATATGCTTTAATTGCATTATTCAAATGAATAACTTTGTCACCTATATCTGTTTAATGCTTTACTGCTTGCAAAGAGTTCAAAATTTAACCTATATTGTATCAATGACAAAGAGTCCATAGGAGAGGCAGTGAATGTAAATACAATCTGGAAAGGGGCCCAATTTAAAAAGAGGAGATTTAAATGAAACATGATAATTTCTAATAGTCAAATTCAATTTTAGTGAAGTCTGCAGGCAGCAGCTTACTCTACCACCTTCGGGTCATTTTTTTTAAAGCAATAATTTAAGCTTATTTCAAAAACCTCACTTACTTAGTGGTTTAAAAAACAAAACAAAAAGCCTGTTGCTGTTGAGTCAATTTCAACTCACAGAGACCCTATAGTGTAGAACTTCCCTATAGGGTTTCCAAGGCTATAAATCTTTACAGAAGCAGACTGCCACATCTTTCTCCTGTGGAGCAGCTGGTAGATTCAAACTGCCAGTCTTTTGGTTAACAGTCTAGGGCTTAACCACTGCACCACCAGAGCTACTCATTTCTACAGCACTGTCTATTTAATACGGCAAATCTCTGCTAGGGTTGTGGAACAATTCTTTTGCAGAAAATCTGATTTCCATAATCTCTATAGAACAGACATTTATATTATAAATGAATTGGTTCATAATCCTTTGAAATTTTCAACCTGCAGAGAGAAATTCTGTTGCCCTGAATAATATACAGACATAACATAGTACTGAATTAGTACCATACCACTGGGTGTCTCTGTCCTTTCCCTGCTGGTGCTTTTTAGCCTCAATCTTCTTCTGTTATTCTTATCTGCCGATGGTTCTTGAGGGGGATGCGGATGCAAAATATGTAGACTGGCTGGTACATTTTCATATCAAACAACAAAGAGCCAAAATAAAAGCACTGTATGGTTTAAACTAAGCAAATATAATAATTATAGCTATCATGAGAATATTCATGTATCATTTTGATGTAACATAAAACTGTATATCAAAAACAAGTCCTTCACAGAAAATAGATGTTTACTGTCATTTCAATATTAGGATCATATCAGGCTTTCAAAATTACTGATACATTTTTTCATGTAATATAATTTGATTAACATTAATCAGGCAATATGCTATGTTAAAAAATATAAAAATTAAATTCACAGTCAATACAGGAAAATTACTTCTTTTTTCATAAGAGGACATGTAGGAATGATTCAACAAGAGCTTATAGGGCAGTGTCTAAGAAAACCTGGAGAACTGAGGTCAAATCTGGAGAAGAATTATGAAGTAAAATTTAATTCTGGAATAATATTAATAGCAGCTAATATTTATTGAATGTTTAACTGCTTGGTGCAATACCACGTGCTTGACTAGTTTTCCTTATTAATGCTCCCAATGACCCGTTGGGTCAGCTACACCAACTATTAGTGTCAGTAGTAATGGTATCCCTATTTTACATATGAGGAAACTGAGGCTCACACAATTTAAAGAAACTTGATAAAGGCCTCATAAACAGTAATTTGTAGAGTTAGGCCTGGATATCTATGGATACTCATTTCCTGATTTCAGTTTTATATTCCATGAGGATATTATCATTAATTTTTAAATCAAAATAAAATGGACTCAAATGTTCCCTTTTTCTACTTTCACATGAGTCAGGTAAGAAGAGAAAAACTTACAGGGAGGTGTAAGCCTTGGGCTCTTGTTTCAATTCTTTCCCATGATTAGCCAAAAAAAAAAACCCTCACTGCCATTGAGTTGATTCTGACTTGCACCAACTCCCACTGGGTTTCTGAGGCTATACATCTTTATGGAAGTAGATTGCCCCAAATTCCTTCCATGGAGTGGATGGTGGGTTTGAACTGGGGACCTTCTGGTTAGCAACCAAATTCCTTATCTACTATACCAGCAGAGCTCCTTAACGATTATATACTGTAAATCACTTTTTAGTCTTGAACTTTGAATCTGTAAAATGGGACAAAAGTACTTCCCTAACGCACAGGATTGTTTTGCATATCGAATGAATACAAAACACTTTACAAATGGAAGGGATAAATTAAAAAATAAAGTTAAGAAAATTACAAATGCACATGGAGTTTCCAAAATATAACAACAATGGAATGCTATTCTATTTTCTCGTATTACTGTTGTTTTTAGGTGCTGGTGAGTCAGCTCTGAATCACAGCGACCCTATGTACAGAAGAATGAAACAGTCCTGCCCCAGCCTCACAATTCTTGCTATACCTGAGCCCATCATTGCAGCTAGTGTGTCAATCCATCTCATTGAGGGCCTTCCCCTTCTTCGTTGACCCTCCACTTTACCAAGCATGATATCCTTCTCCAAGGAATGGTCCTTTCTGACAACATGACCAAAGTGGGTCAAACAAAGTCTGGTCATTCTTACTTCCAAGGAGCATTATAGATGAACTTTTAGGATAGATTTGTTTGTTCTTTTGGCAGTCCATGGTACCTTCAGTATTCTTTGCCAATACCACAATTCAAAAGCATCAACTCTTCTTTGGTCTTTTTTGTTCACTGTCCAGCTCTCACATGCGTATGAGGTGAGTGAAAAGACTATGGCTTGTTGTTGTAGTTAGGTTTGCGTGTCAACTTACACCTGGTTGAGTGGCTGGGCAGGTGGATGTAGCATTCCCCATGATGAGACTGGTAATGAACTCCATGGTGGAATCTACTGTGAGCAGCTGAGGAGCTTGCCCCAAGATGTGGTCTGCTTCCTGTATATAAGGAGAAGCCTTGGGAAATGGTCTCTAGCTTACGGCACGCTTCTGCATGTAGCCGCGTCGTTGTTCAGCAGCCTGCCATGCTCTACTGACCTTAGGACTTCCAATGGACTTGAATTAATGGCCTGCCATGTGGTTTGGTAACAGCGGGACTGTGCCTTTTTACTTGTCAACCTTGGGTTTGTCAGCCTCAGAAGCCAGCACCTGAGTGAAGAGAATCCTCCAGCTTCAGTGGGTCAGGAGCAGAAGGCAGAGCTGCAATCCAAGGTTGAGGGGCATTCACACAGCCCCAGAGCCTGGCACTTTAAAATTGGACTTCTAGCCTCCTGAACTGTAAGAGAATAAACTCCTGTTTGTTAAGGCTATCCCATTTGTGGTATATTCTTGTCAGAGTGGCACTAGGTAACCAAAACACTTGGGTTGGGAGCAACTTAGTCTTCAAGGAGACATCTTTGCTCCTAAGCACTTGAAAGAGGACTTCTTTTTCCCAAAAATTTTTTATTGTGACTTGGGTGAAAGTTTACAGAGCAAATTCATTTTCCATACAGCAATTCACATATGCATTGTCTCATGACTGCAATTTCCCACAATGCAACAGCTCTCTTCCCACTTCTTCCCCACAGTAATCTCTTCCCTGTGTCCTTCCCTCCCCATGCACTCCTGCCCCTCCCTCCCCCGCCAGCTGTCTCCCTATGCATACATAGCCCTTCTACTCTCCCATGACTGATCTCTCCAAGGAGTGTATCTATCTAATGTGAATGTTCAGCTTACATGCCTGTCTTTTGTTTGGCTGGAAGCCACAGGAGTAGGTTCAATTCCAGACCTCAAAGGCTGCTAGGGGCCATAGCCTCAGGAGGTCCAGCAGGCTCTATCAGACCAGCAAACCTGGTCCTAAAGAGGTCTTTTGCAGCAGATTTGCCCAGTGCAATACATTGTTTGATGTCTTGACTGCTGCTTCCACTGTTGCTGATTGTGGAAACAAGTAATATGAAATTTTTGACTTCAATCTTTTCTCCATTTACTGTGATGATGCTTATTGGTCCAGTTGCGAGGATTTTTGTTTTATTTATGTTGAGATGTAATCCATACTGCAACCTGTAGCCTTTAATCTTCATCAGTAAGTGCTTCAAGTCATTCTCACTTTCAGCAAAGTTGTGTCATCTGCATATTGCAGGCAGTTAATGAGTCTTCTTCCAATCCTGATGCCACATTTTTCATATAATTCAGTTTATAGTATTATTTGCTCAGCATTCAGATTGAGTAAGTATGGTAAAAGGATACAACGTCGAGACACTCCCTTCCTGATTTTAAACCATGCAGTATCCCCTTGTTCTGTTCGAACAACAACCTCCTGGTCTATGTACAGGCTCCTCATGAGCACAGTTAAGTGTTCTGGAATTCCCAATCCTCTCAATGTTGTCCACAATTTGTTATGATCCATGCAATCAAATGCTTTTGTCTGGACAGTCAATAAAACACAAGTAATTTTTTTTTTTTTTTTTTGGTATTCTGTGCTTCCAGCCAAGATCATCTGACATCAGCAATGATATCCCTCGTTCCATGTCCTCTTCTCAATCCAGCTTGCAGTTTTGGAACTTCTCTGTCAATATACTACTGCAACCGTTTTTGAATTATCTTCAGCAAGATTTTACTTGTGTGTGATGTTAATGATATTGTTTGATAAATACCCACATTCTATGGGATCACCTTTCTTTGGAATGGGTACAAATATGGATCTTTTCCAGTCAGTTGGTCAGATAGCTCATAGCCCAGTGAGAGCCTCCAGTGGGGCATCCATTTCTTGAAACATCTCAGTTGCTATTATGTCAGTTCTTGAAGCCTTGTTCTTTGCCAGTTCCTTCAGTGGAGCTTCGACTTCTTCCTTCAGTACCACTGGTTCTTGATCATATGTCATGTCCTGCAATTGATGATGAAAACCAAACCAAACTCACTGCCGTCAAGCTGATCCTGACTCATAGTGACCCCTCCTTGGGTTTCCGAGCTGGTATCTCTACAAAAGTAGATTGCACAGTCATCCTTCTAAGGAGTGGTTGGTGGGTTTGAACCTACAGACTTCTGTTTAGCAGTCAAATGCCTTAGTTACTATGCCACCAGAGCTTCTGGATGAACATCAACCAATTGTTTTTGGTACAATGACTCTGTGCATTCCTTCCATCTTCTTTTGATATTTCCGGCATCATTCAACATTTTGCCCATAGAGTCTTTAAACACTGAAACTCGAGGCTTGAATTTTTTCTTCAGTTCTTTCAGTTTGAGAAACGTGGAGCATGTTCTTCCCTTTGGTTTTCTAACTTCATGCTGAACATTTTGTTATAATTATTTATTCTGTCTTCTCCAGCTGCTCTTTGAAATCTTCTGTTCAGCTCTTTTATCCTGTCAATTCTTCTTCTAGCCAAGATCCATCTGATAACAGCAATGATATCCCTCATTCCATGTCCTCTTCTCAATCCAGCTTGCAGTTTTGGAACTTCTCTGTCAATATATTGCTGCAACTGTTTTTGAATTATCTTCAGCAAGATTTTACTTGTATGTGATGTTAATGATATTGTTTGCTTTAGTTACTCTCCATTCAAGAGCAAATTTCACAGTCTCTTCTGATGTCTGTTTTGGCCTTTTCTTCCTTTCTTGTCTTTTTAATGACCTCTTGCTTCCTTCATGGATGATATTCTAGATGTCATCCCATAATTCCTCCGGTTTTCGGTCATTGGTGTTCAATGCATCAAATATATTCTTTAGATGGTCTCTAAATTCAAGAGGGATGTAATCAAGGTCATATTTTGGCTCTTGCAGACTTGCTTTAATTATCTTCAACTTCAACTTGAACTTTCACATGAGCAGTTGATATTCTGTTCTACAGTCAGCTCCTGGCCTTGTTTTGGGTGAATATATTGAGCTTCTCCATCACCTCTTGTTGCAGATGTAGCTGATCAGATTCCTATTTACTCCATCTGGTAAGGCCCATGTGTATAGCCGTCGTTTATGTTCTTGGAAAAAGGTATTTACAATGAGTAAGTTGTTGGTCTTGCAAAATTCTATCATGTGATCTCCAGCACTATTTCTGTCATCAAGGCCATATTTTCCAACTACTGGTGATTCTTCTTTATTTCCAACTTTTGCATTCTAATTACCAGTGATAATCAACACATTTTGACTGCATGTTCGGTCCATCTCAGACTGCAGAAGTTGGTAAGAATCTTCAATTTCCTCATCTTTGGCTTTGGTGATTGGTGCATAAATTTGAATGGTAGTAGTATTAACTGGTCTTCCCTGTAGGTGTATAGATATTATCCTAACACTGACAGCATTGTACTTCAGGATAGATCTTGAAACATTCTTTGTGATGATGAATGCCACACCATTCCTCTTAAATTTCTCATTCCTGGCATAGATCATATGGTTGTCTGATTCAAAATGGCTAAAACCAGTTCATTTCAGCTCACTAATGCCTAGGATATTGATCTTTATGTGCTCCATTTAATTTATGACAACTTCCAATTTTCCTAGATTCATTACTTTATACATTCCATGTTCCAATTATTAATGGATATTTGCAGCTGTTTCTTTTCATTTTGAGTTTACTACATCAGGAATTACAAGTCCCAAAATCTTCACTCCATCCACATTATTAAGGTTGGCTCTACTCTGTGGAGGGAGCTCTTCCTCAGTCATATTTTGAGTGCCTTCTGACTCAAGGGTCTCATCTTCCGGCACTGTATTGGAAAATGTTTCAGCGCTATTCATAAATGTTTCCAATAACATATCAGACAGTGTTTCACTACAACTCATAAGGTTTCCACTGGCTAATTCTTTGAGAAATGGATGGCCCTTTTCTTATTCCAAGTCTGTCCTAGTCTGGAAACTCCACTGCAACTTGTCCACCATGAGTGACCCTGCTGATATTCGAAATACCAGTGGCATAGCCTTCAGCCTCACAGCAACACACAAGCCACCACAGTATGAAAGCTGGCAGATGAGTGGTGGCTTTTTTCATAGGTCATTAGAAAAAATAAAAACACAGGGTATATTCTGGTTACCTAGTGCCACTCTGACAAGAATATACCACAAATGGGATGGCCCTAACAAACAGGAGTTTATTCTCTTACAATTTTGAAGCTTTAAGTTAAAGTTCCAAGTGCCAGGCTCTAGGGGCTAAGTGAAAGCCCCTCAGCCTTGGGCTTCAGCTCTGCCTCCAGCTCCCGGCCCAATGAAACTAGAGGTGTTTCTTTACTCAGACAGCTGCTGGCTGCTGAGGCTGAGAAGCCCAGGATTGACAAGCAAAAAGGCACAGTCCCAATGTCACCAAACCACATGGCAGGCCATTAATTTAAGTCTATTGTAACTCAAGGTCGGCTGAGTATGGCAGGCTGCTGAACAATGACACGGCTACATGCAGGGTCCAAGTGTGCCATAGGCCAGAGACCATTCTCCAAGGCTTCTCTTTATATATAGGAAGCAGACCATATCCCTATGGCAGCTATACAGCTTCTCACAGTAGATTTCAACATGGAGATGATTACCAGTCTCATCATGGGCAATACTACATCCAGCTGCCCAGCCATTCAACCAGGCCCAGCCAAAGTGACACACAAACTGAACTACCACAGGGTACTTCAGCAATTTAAAATAACTGAGTAGATAGAATGTTAAGTAACAGAAGGTAACATATTAAGTGATTACTCTTTGGACTTGAGTTCTGATCTAGTTTAACAAAAACACTTCTATTTTTTTTAGCTATCAAATCTTTATGCAGTATTCTTTCTTACCATGAGTAGGTAAAATCTGTTTTATTTGGCGAATGTTTTCTTTATCTCCTTGATCCTCAGACTCAGATATTAGTAAAGTAGACACGTCGACACTGCTAACACACTTCTCTATAGTTGACTGCAGGCAGGATCTGTTATTTTTGGACCCAATGGATCTCATTGTCTATAAGAAAGAAGAATTAATTTATACATTTTAAAATATAGAAGTTGCCTTTATTTTCTATAAAATCTATGCAGGAAAAATAATCTTTGGATAAATAAAGAGTGAGTGGGAAAAAAGGTGGAGAAAATGAGAAGGTTAAAAGTGATAAAGATAGAAATTATGGTAGAAAAGGAGAAAGAAATGGAAAGAGCAAAATAACATGAGATGAAATAGAAGACAAGCAAGTCTCCCAGACACAGAAATTAAAATGTGCTCATTTTCTACACTCTACCATTAGTAGGTAAAAGGTGAATTAAAATTACAGCTATATGTCAGAAATTCAGAAGAAATTAAAAATAAAACACATAACACTTGGGATCTGTTCATCACAAGGTGTCTGTTAATGATCCAACTCCCTTTTGAAGGAGACAGCAAAGTGTGCTCACATATATTTGCCTATAAGTTTTGTGAACATATTCAATGAAAAGAATACTCTAAAATGTTAATTATGCTGATATGACAAAAAAGAAACAGTTTCAATGTTTTTTAAAATCTAGAATTTCTGTTCCAAGTTTATTCAAGCCTTCTGCTTGTGGCATGCAGATTCTCTCTCTCTTTTTTCCTACATTGTAAAAAAATAAAACAAAAAAATTTTTCCTTACTATGCCACTCATATTTAGATAAAGCCTCCAAACCTTGCTCCTACCTCACTGGATATCCTCATGTTATTCCTTCTGCCAGATAGTGGAGGTGGTCCAAGAACTTTGGATCCAAAAGCAATATGACAAACATCTTGATTTTTATTGTTCCGCACACTGCCTGCTCCTTGGTTAATGAATTGATCTATTTTGTTAAAGGAAAGTAAAAACAGTCTGTTAATAGACAAAATGACAAACACCATGTTGCAATATTTCTGAAAGTACAGTCTAGGGATCATATAATCTGAATCACCACTGGACACTTTTTTTTTTTTTTAAATATAGGTATTAGGGATCCATATTAAATTGATCAGATTTATAGCATTAAAATCTTAGGGTAGGAGAGGGAAGACAGAAATACACACTTTTAACAAGTTTTCCCAAGTGATTCTTATGCTCCTTGTCATTTGAGAACCATTGCCACAAATGTCTTCCTTAAAAAAATAAAAACAAATTTTAAGAAATATATCATTTTTTTTCCTCTTTAAGAAAATTATTTAAATAAAATTATTCAACTCAATTCAACAAATACTTGGTTGAGGACTTTCTCAGACACTTCCTTGAAGCACTCAAAATGGATAAAATATATTGTGTGCCCTCAGGGAGTCTAGAGGGAGGTAATAAGATAAATAAATAAGCAACTAAAACATAAAGCAGACCAGTGGGAATTAAGAGTAAGTGGCCTTTTGACTAAACCTTGAATGAATGGTAAGATTTCAAAGAGAGATGTAGGGTGCCCAAGGCAGAAGAAAGTGCCTGAGAAAGTATGGAAGAAGGAAAGGGAATGCTTGGGGAATAATGAAATGACCAGATTAGCTGAAAGAAAGGGCTAGCGTTGTATAGAAAAGAGTCATAAAATGCTAAGAGCATTCTAAATTTGGTGGGCAATAGAGAATCACTGAAGGTATTGTGGACAAAAAGTACATACTGGTATCACCTTGAGGATAAGGCAAGTATGCTCACCTAAACCATGCCTCCTTTTCCTTCTGGATACATGGTTAAATTACATTTTCCACACTCCCCTGAAGTTATATGGGCCATGTGACTGAGTTCTGGCTAAGGGAGAATGAGATGTGGATGTGAGTAGTATAAGCCACTTTCTGGCTCCTAAAACCTCCTGCATAACCCCCCAACCCAGAGTTCTTCCATCATGTTCCAATAAGATGTGGAACATCCTGTTGAGGCCTTTAAGGTGACCAGGGGAGTCAGCAGGTGAGTCTAGGTCTCTGAATGACTACATGGAAGGCTGCCCAAGGAATTCCTCACTGTACTAGAATCATGAGGCTGTTATTGTGGTTAGCCTCCCCTGACTGATGAAGAAGTGATGCTGATGGCCCTTAACCACACAAAGCACTACCCACTACCTAGGAAGCCTTATGTTGAGCCCCGCTTGCAAGAAAATATTAGGGTATTTTAAATATTAGGATGTTGGCACTGATGTTATTGTTGTTAGGTGCCTTCGAGTCAGCTCCAACTCACAATGACCCTACGCACAGCAGCACTTAACACTGCCCAGTCCTGTGCCAGTCTCACAATCCTTGCTATACCTGAGTCCATTGTTGCAGCCACTGTGTCACTCCATCTTCTTGAGGGCCTTCCCCTTCTTCACTAACTCTCCACTTCAAGCATGATATCCTTCTCCAGGGAATGACCAAAGTAGGTGAGATGAAGTCTGGCCACTCTTGTCTCCAAGAAGCATTCTGGATGCACATCTTCCAGGATAGAACTGTTAGTCCTTTTAGCAGTCCATAGTACTCATGGCATTCTTGTCTAACACCACAACTCAAAAGCATCAACTTTTCTTTGGTCTTCCTTGTTCACTGTCCAGCTCAGATGTGAATAAGGCAATTGAAAATAACATGGCTTGGATTAGAATCACCTTAGTCTTCAAGGAGACATCTTTGCTCTTCATCACTTGAAAGAGGTCTTTTGCAGTAGAATTTGCCCAACGTGATATGTCATCTGATGTCTTGACTGCTGCTTCCATTGGTGTTGATTATAGAACCAAGTAATATGAAGTCCTTGGCAACTTCAACCTTTTTTTCTTCCATCGTGAAGGTATTTATTGGACAAGTTGTGAGGATTTTTGGTTTCTTTATATTGAGGTGTAATTGATACTGCATACTGTAGTCTTTAATCTTCATCAGTAAGGGCTTTAAGTCATCCTCACTTTCAGCAAGCAAAGTTGTGTCGTCTATGTATGGCAGGTTGTTAATGAGTCTTTCTCCAATTCTGATGCCATGTCCTTCTTCATATAATCCAGCTTCTTGGATTATTTGCTCAGCATACAAACTGATTGAATATGGTGAAAGTATACAACCCTGATGCACTCCCTTCTTGATTTTAAACCATGCAGTATCCCCTTGTTCTGTTAGAATGATAGCCTCTTGATCTATGTTCATGAGTACCATCAAGTGTTCTAGAATTCTCATTCTTCTCAATGTTATCCATAATTTGGTATGATCCACACAATCAAATGCTTTTGCATAGTCAATAAAACACAAGTAAACATCCTTCTTATATTCTTTGTTCTCAGCTAAGATCCATCTGACATCAGTAATGGTATCTCTTGATTCATGTCCTCTTCTGAATCCAGATTGTATTTCTGGAAGTTCTCTGTCAATATACTGCTGCAATAATTTTTGAATTATCTTCAGTAAGATTTTACTTTGATGATATTGTTCGATAATTTCCACATTCTTTGGAATGCATACAAATATGGATCTCTTCCAGTCAGTTGGCCAGGTAACTGTCTTCCAAATCTCTTGGCATAGCCGAGTGAGTGCCTCCAGTGGGGCATCCATTTGTTAAAACATCTCAGTGGGTATTCAGTCAATTCCTGGAGCCTTGTTCTTCACCAATTCTTTCAGTGCAGCTTCAACTTCGTTCTTCATATTATTGTTTCTTGATCATATGTCACCTCCTGAAATGGACATAAATTAACCAATTCTTTTTGGTACAGTGACTCTGGGTATTTCTTCCATCTTCTTTTGATGTTTCCTGAGTCATTCAATATATTGCCCATCGAATCTTTCAATATTGCAATTCAAGGCTTAAATTTCCTCTTCAGTTCTTTCAGCTTGAGAAATGCCAAGCATGTTCTTCCCTTTTGGTTGTCTAACTCCAGGCCTTTGCACATTTCATTATAATAATTCACTTTGTCTTCTTGCGCTGCTTCTTGAAATCTGTTCAGCTCTTTTATCTTGTCATTTCTTCCTTTAGCTACTCTCTGCTTAAGGGCAAGTTTCAAAGTCTCTCTTGACATGCATTTAGGTCTGTTTTTCCTTTCTTATCTTTTTAATGACCTCTTGCTTTCTTTATGGTTGATGTTCTTGACGTCATCCCACAATTCCTCTGGTTTTCAGTCACTGGTGTTCAATATACTAAATCTATTCTTCAGATGTTCTCTAAATTCAGGAGGGATATTACCAAAGTCATATTTTGGCTCTCATGGACTTGTTTTAACTGTCTTCAACTTATAGTTGAACTTGCACATGAGCAGTTGATAATCTGTTCCACAATCAGTTCCTGGCCTTGTTTTGGTTGAAGATACTGAACTTCTCCATTTCCTCTTGCCACAGATGCAGTTAATCTGATTCCTGTGTATTACATCTGGCAAAATCCATGTGTATAGCCATTGTTTATGTTGTTGAAAAAGGTATTTGCAATGAGTAAGTCATTGGTCTTGCAACATTCTATCATGTGATCTCCAACGTTAGTTTTATCACTAAGGCCATATTTTCCAACTACTAGTGATTCTTCTTTGTTTCCAACTTTTGCATTCTAGTTACCAGTGATAATCAATACACTTTGATTGAATGTTCAGTCAATTTCAGACTGCAGAAGTTGGTAGAAATCTTTAATTTCCTCATCGTTGGCTTTGGTGATTGGTGCATAAATTTGAATACTAGTAGTATTAACAAGTCTTCCTTGTATGTGTATGGATATTATACTATCACTGGCAGCATTGTACTTCAGGACAGATCTTGAAACAGTCATTGTGATGGTAAAAGGCACACCATTCCTCTTCCATTTGTCATTTCTGGCGTAGTAGATCATGTGGTTGTCTGATTCAAAATGGCCCAAACCAGTCCATTTTAGCTCACTTATGCCTAGGATATTGATCTTTATGTGTTTCATTTCGTTTTTGACAACTTCTAATTTTCCTAGATTCATTACTTCATACATTTCATGTTCCAATTATTAATGGATGTTTGCAGCTGTTTCTTCTCATTTTGAGTCATGCCGTATCAGCCAATGGAGATCCTGAAAGTTTTACTCCATCCATATCATTAAGGTTTTCTCTACCCTGAGGAGTCAGCTCTTCCCCAGTCATATTTTGAGTGCCTTCTGACCTGATGGGCTCATCCTTCTGACACTGTATGAGACAATGTTTCATGGCTTTTCATAAAGTTTTCCAGTATTATATCAGACAGTGTTTCACTGCGATTCATAAGGTTTTCACTGGCTAATTCTTTGAGAAGTGTATGGCCTCTTCTTTCTTCCGAGTCTGTCTTCGTTTGGAAGCTCTGCTGAAACCTGTCCACCGTGGGTAACCCTGCTGGTATTTTGCAATGCTGGTAGCATAGTCTCCATCCTCACAGCAACATGCAAGCCACCACCGGATGACAAACTGACAGATAAGTTCATCTCTCTTAGTTGTTCCTAACTGCTCTGCTAGCTTCCCCGCCTATCTGGTGGCCCTGGTTTAACTAAAGCCACCCCAGAAACCCTGAACCATAAGCCTACCCACCTGTCTGGGGGCCTGGCTTTGATAAAGTCCACGTTCCAAAGTCATGGGCATGTATAAACTAGTGGGTACTTCCTGTCTGACCCATTCCCCTGAAAACATTCCTATACCTAGTTGGTCCCATTAACCTCTGCTGAAGAGCTGGGATTTTATACATGACATAATTAAAAAACACTTCTTAAGCACTAGCATGAGAAAAGGCAGACAAACTGATGATATTACACAATGCAATTAATGTGGGTATATGTGCACGAATGTGTGAATATTTTTCTGTTTGTGACAGATGAAGGTGAATTGATGGGAGGGGCTAGATTATTGAATTGAACTGAAAGAATTTTTGCTAGACAGAAGACCTGAGGTGATGGTGAAGTGGTGAAGAGATATACTATGCCAAT